GTAAGCTCCAATTTTAAGACATACTCATACCATTTGCTACATACTTAAACTTTCTGAGGTTTGTCTTTTTTAAAGACAATTTTTACTTTTTAAATCCTTTTTTATCCAAAGTGGGTATCAATTTTTTTCCCAATTTTTTTTTTTAAGGCTTTTTTACTACCTTCTTTACAATCCCTTTTCCAAGGCTTTTTTTACCACCCTCTTTCTTTACAATCCCTGAGCATCTTTGTAGCTGTAGTTTAAAACTGCACAATTTTCCTTTTGCTTGCGGAACCTTTATCTTAGAACAGCCTTAAGGCACCACTGTGATGTAGAAGCTTGCTAGATTTTAAGGCTAAGAGTATTACCTCCATTGATAACACACTCAGGTTATTACCATACCAGAGCCAAACTAGGCTGTGACCATAGAGTGGATTTCCAGTCACTATGCACTGAAGTGCCTAAGACAAGTAAGCCAATGATATCCTTGTCCCCAATATTCACTGTGGGAAGAGAGGGTTTTTGGATATCACCCAAAAGAATGTCCGACAAGATCGTAGATTTAGCAGCAGTCAACCAGGAAGCAGACTGAGGTGATGGAATCTTTAGGCAGGAGTTTTTCCAGGTGGCTGTCAGGCAGTCGTTGAACTTTAACCATTAGGGTATGCAGCAGCAGCAGCAGCAGGATCTCTCAGTGGCTCCAAGGGACTGTCACACCTCATGCTGGGCTGTAAATTCCTACACAGACTGGTTAAGGATACATTGCATAGGCTTGGCAGGCTTTGATCCTGCTGGTTTTTAAGATCTTTAAACAATAGCCCAGGACAATTTACCAAAATCACAACATTTTTACTAACCAGATATTTTTGTAAATAGACACAGAAGGCTCAGAAGGCTTAGTCTTGTAACCATCTCTGACAGATGCAGTCTCCACACCTTGCATATCAACAACTGTTAGCCCTATTTTTTATGCCTTTAAAAGAATTATTTTATCTATTTTGCCTCATTTTTCCAAAACTGACTCTGGACCCTTGATCTTAAAATGGGGGTAGAAGGGCGAAGATCCATCTTCTGTAACTTCTTCAAGCTGACTTCAGGGGCGTTGATCTTACCTAGCCAGGAACCTATAACCTTAGCCTATTTTACAAAGAGGCCATCAGGGTTAGATGTCATTAAGAGCAATATTTAACATTTGACAACTGCACAGACCTTTTCTCCGGCTACAGCAGTGTAGCTTGTTTAGCACTCTGGTTTGCAAAAGCATCTTCCTAGATGGCTTAGGAATGTGATCTCAACAATGCCTAAGATGCCTAAGTTACCTTTGCAGGCCTTTAGACAGATATCAATAGAAACACTCTCTCAGGTTTACAAACATTTTCCTGAGCAGATGAACTTCATGTAACTAGTGTCAGCTCAATTAGAGCTGCCAATCAGAGCTTTTTGGCACATAAAGGGGTTGAGATTTAAACTATCCCCCACATTTTATAACATTAGCTTTTTACTATCATAGAGGATTGGCAAGTTCCTGTCTCTTACAAGGTAGTCATGAACATTAGGCATGCTTCCAAACTATCTTCCTATGACCTCCCGGCTCTGACCAGTTTTGAAAGGCCACGCACAAATGACACTAGGATCTGACATTTCTGCCATCCAAGCAGTGGCTTACTGCCTCTGGATGCTTCTCCATTGCTTTTGTCCCAGGAGTGTCTTCTCCACATTGGGATAAATGCCTCATTGGCATTTCCCTTTAGCTGGTTGCTGGACTCGAACTCAGGGCCTGAGCACTGTCCCTCAGCTCTACAGCTCAAGGCTAGCACTCTGCCACTTTGAGTCCCAGACTCAGGGCTTGAATGCTGTCCCCTAACTCTTCAGTCCAGGGCTAGTACTCTGCCACTATGAGTCTTGAGCTTGGCGCTTGAGTACTGTCCCCTGACTCTTCAGTCCAGGGCTAGTACTCTGCTGGCTGAAGAGCGGTGACAGTCTCACAGGGACCTTTGTCTGCCCGGGCTGGCTTCGAACCAGTTTGCAGATCAATGCGTCTTATGAAAGGCCACTTTACTCCAATTAAAAGCAACAAGGTGGTCAACATAGAAGTAGCTTTTAAGCATGCTCTTACCTGAAACTTATTAAGAGTCAAAGTTACATCTGACAAACTTGTAAGAATACTCTGTGCTTTGCTCTGGGCTTGCTGGAAACTTAAAAAAACCTATAAGAGCAAACTAGAATAGCAATTCTTTTGATAATCTTAATTTTTCCTTTGTGTACATTGAGGCCAATGTCAAGAACAATTTTACATTTAAACTTTATATCCAAAAATCCATTTTTTAATTAATTTTTTTTAAAGCCTCTTATTAATCACCTTTAATATTTCATACTTTAGTTTTCATTTGCGTTTTGAAAAGATCCCTTGAAATCTTGAGGCCAAGTGTCACTCATTGCCTCTTGGTTGCTTGTTTTAAAGCAGACACACATTAAGATTTTTAAACTCAAATGACAATTTTTCCTTAATGCCAAAAATTACAGTCACCATTATTATACCACGAGGCTAGACTTAACACCTTTATAACTTTTAAAAACATCCTAATTGTAGAACATAATTGAAAGTAAGCCACATTATACAAATAACCTTTTGGCCCTCTTTTTAAGGCCTTTTTAATTTTAATGTTAACACATCCAAGGGGAAGTTTTAGCAATACTAATCAGGTCATCACATCACTTATTTTAACCATCATGTTTTCAGTGTCTGACTGCAGAGAAAAGAGAGAACAAAGATGGGCCGTTCGGCCCCTTCTATGGAATGGGCACACCCAATCTGACTCTTTAGGGTTAGATGAACTGCGTTTGTGCCAGCTTACCCTCTTTCACCCTGCGTGGACTCTTCCCAGGGCCTGTCCCACCATGCATGGCCAGCTGAACTGTACTTCTGCTTGTTTACCCCTTACCCCTAAAGATAGGTCTTCTGTTGGCTTCTAAGTTTTTCCCCGTCTCTTCTCTTGGTTCTCGAATGAAATACAGTTTTAGACAGACAGAACAGGTAACATCTTTGACAGTGTTAAACTAACCTTTACATTTAAATTTTTAATATTTATCTCCAAATTTTAGCCAAGGGAATTAGATCTCAAACTGCCAATGCATTTTTGTTAAGCCAGATAATTTGATTACAGTATAAACAGTCATGCATTTTAAAACATTAGTCTTTTAAAATACCAGATTTTCTAATTTGCAAGTTAAAGAATCTTTACAAAGCCATTTAAAACAATGTGAAGATTTTTAAAATCTTTGGTAATGTCCAAACCTCATAACCTTTTGAATTTTAACTTTAAACTCACCCAATTGTTACAGCATGCTGACAATTCTTATCTTTGAACATGTTCACAGACACACACAAAGCACTCACACAGATCTTAAAGCGCGCAAAAATCAAAATCAGTCGTACGTACACCTTTTAAAGTTCTTAAACAAAAATTTAAGACAGTATTTCTTTGTTGGGCTTTATTTTCCCAGAGCTTGCTTATCTAGCAAGGCGATTCACTAATTAGTCTTTTGAATCCCTTCTGTAGGAGGAGGGCTGGGGGAGGGGGTCACCTAAAACTAAACTGTCCAGATTTTTACATTGTCAGGACTAGTTGAAAAAGTCCAAACCAGACACACAGTCTTTTACACCCTCCCTGCTAGCAGCCTGCACAAGGAGAAAATGCAGCCTAAGGCTTGAAGGGAACCAAACTAGCCCAGTAACCTTCCATGCCTCACAGGGAGGGTGGGCGTAGCGGGTCTGTGACCCAGCCCAGCTGGAACTTTTATTCCCCCAGAGATGTTTAAATAAATAACAAAAACACAGATAAACACAAAAACCAAGGATCCACATTTAAAACTGGTACCAATTCTAAAACAGAACTAGACAAGAACTGAAGGCTGAGTTGGGGACTAATGAGCCCCAGTTTATCCCTACTGGAACTCTGTGCTGTTCTCACTCAGCAAGCTGAATCCAGAGTCTGCTGATTGAGCCTGCCACACTCACCCAGAACTTCCCTACCCCAGAAAACATAAAACACACACACTAAAGTTAACAATACAACCAAGTGGCCACAGAGACAAAATGAAGTCTCAGTGAATGGGGCAACTTCTCACCACCATTTACTTACCAGGGGACTCAAACCCCCTATTTACCTCCGGAGGATTTTTTTTTTTTTTTTTTCTTTTTTTTTTCCTGCAGACATTGACCCAGGGGCCTTCCAAGGCGGAGGAGAATTCCCAGTCATCTGGGGCAAGGGAAAAAAAATCCCTAGCGGCCGTCCCCTCAGACTGGCAGGTTCTCCCCCACGCTCAGACCCCCTGAGCCAAGGCCCAAGGCTGAGATCTAACTGGGGCCACTCACAGGTGGTCAGTGGCAATTTCATAATTGACAAACAAGCAAGTTCCTAAAACCTGACAATCTAGGCTCGGGCTGTCCTTCCAGTGCTGTAAAGTAAGGCTAAGGGGGGTCGCGACAGGTTGCCCCATGCTAAAAATTTTAACAAACACAGAAACAGTACAGACAACAACACAGACAACACTTAGCTTCGCGGCGCGCTTTTGCTAACAAACTGAAAGCAAAACCTGATGGAGACTTTATTGAGAGTCCGGATCTCTCGCCTCCCTGATGAACCACGCGTCCAAAAGGACCGGGTTCCAGATGGGCCACTTTTTCAGGCCCTCGGATGAGCCACTGTTTCAGGCTCCGGATGAGCCACTGTTTCAGGCTCCGGATGAGCCACTGTTTCAGGCTCCGGATGAGCCACTGTTTCAGGCTCCGGATGAGCCACTGTTTCAGGCTCCGGACGAGCCACTGTTTCAGGCTCCGGACACCCCCAAGACGTCTCCTGGGGGTTGCGGTCGGGAGTACGAGCTCGTCAGCTCCTCCACGGGCCCGCCAGATACGGACGAGTACGGCCGAACTCACCAGATTCGCAAGCGCACACACAGATTGACTTAAACAGTACACAGACAATACCTGGACAACACATAGACGCTGGCCAGCTTACCTCCCGAAAATGGGTCGGTGGTCCCTGGGTGGGGGTCTCTATCCCGGACGAGCCCCCAGATGAAAGACCCCCGAAGACTTGGGGTGTCCTTCAATCAGAAGAGACCCTTCCCCAAGGAACAACGAGACCACTTGTGCGGATGCAATCAGCAAGAGGTTTATTCGGGCATGCCTCGGCTCCCAGGTGCACTCAACCACGAGATCCACAAGGTTCGGGTCAAGTGTCTGAGAACCGGTTACACGGGTACCCGGGGCGACAAAGTCTGTCGGAAGACTTGCGCGCCGTAAAGTTCATTTTCGACATAACGACTTGTACATCTCATTGTTGCAATAGGTCCACATGTATCCCTAGTTAAACGATTTGTTTTTTTCCCTTCCCCTCCACAAATTATACCAACATCAAATACAGTGAAAGCAGGGGTTATACCGTGGGGAAGGGACATAAAAAGCGACAAAGAAATCATCTTATAAATATATTAGAGACAATCGCATGAAAGAAAAACACATTTGAATACTTATCTTAGAGTTCATTTCCCTAACATCAACTTATCTGACCATTTCTTCTTGACTCAGACATATACTAGTTATTGCAAATAAGGGAAACCATGGGACTTATGATTCTTTGGGCCTGGCTTACTTCACTTAATATAATTTTTTCCAAGTCTTTCCATTTCCTAACAAATGGGGCAATGTCATTCTTTCTGATGGCGGCATAAAATCCATTGTGTATATATACCACATTTTCTTGATCCATTCATCTAGCAGTTGCATTTTGATGGGCTAGAATTATATTGATTTATAGGAATATTTAAAAAGTTTTTTTAAGTAATCACAATTTAAAAAATCATCATTATATTTTGAGGGGAGTCAGTTGTGGGGCTTAAACTCAGGGCCTGAGTGCTGTCCCTGAGCCCTTTTGCTCAAGGATAGTGCTCTACCACTTCCACAAATCCATGTCTGTTTTTTTTAATATTTATTATTTTTGTTGTATTTATTTATTTTTAAAATGTTGTACAGAGGGGTTACAGTTACATGAGTAGGTTAACACCATCAGTACATTTCATAGCAAGCATTGTTACCTTCTCCTTTGTTTTCCCCCTACCATCACTTCCCTCCCCACCTCCCCAAATCCTCCCACCCTCTCACCCCGACATTGTAAAGTTCGTTTTCAAAATAGTGTCCTGTACATATTGTCATCACAATGGGTCAACATGCAAACCCATTTAAGTGTTCCGCTATATCCTTTTCTCTCCCCAAATTACAAAAATGTATGTACAAGATGCAGAACACCGGCATCAAATTCAGTGAAAACAAGGGTTATACCGTGGGGGAAGAACATACAAAAGAAACCAAAAAAATCACATGCTGCATTATAAGTACATTAAAAACACTAGCAAGAAAGGAAAAAAAAAACACTTCTGTCCCTGTCTTGGGGTACATTTTGCTTAATATTATCTCATGTGGTCATAGGTGCATAGCCTTTGACCTTCTCTGCTTGTCCTAGACATGTACTAGTCATTGCAAACAAGTGAATCCATGGGACCTGTGTTTCTTTGGGCTTGGCTAACTTGACTTAATATAATTTTTTCCAAGTCGTTCCATTTCCTAACAAATGAAGCAATGTCAATCTTTCTGACAGAGCCATAGAATTCCATTATACATATGTATATATACATATATACATATATTTTATATATATATATATCACATTTTCTTGATCTATTCATCTACTGAGGGGCATTGAGGTTGGTTCCAAATTTTAGCTATGGTAAATAATGCTGCAATAAACATGGTTGTGCTGGTAGCTTTGAGATGACCTTGTTTGTGATCATTTGGGTAAATGCCCAAAAGTGGAATTGGTGGGTCATAAGGGAGCTCTATGTGGAGTCTTTTGAGGAACCTCCATACTGCTTCCAGAGTGGTTAAACAAGTTTTCACTTCCACCAACTATGAAGTTGGGTTCCCTTTTGGCCACATCCCCTCTAGCATCTGATGTTACTAGATTTCTTTATTATAGCCATTTTAACTGTGGTGAGGTGGAATCTCAAAGTTGTCTTGATTTGCATTTTTTTTTTAATTTTATTTTATTTTATTTGAGAACATACTGTACAGAGGGGTTACAATTACATGGGCAGGATAATGCATACATTTCTTACCAAGCATTGCAGCCTCCTCCTTTGTTTACCCTTCACCTCCCTTCCCAGCCTCCCCCCTCCCTCCCAACCAATCATACCCCCCCTCCCCCCCCCCACCGACATTGTAAAGCTGGTTTTGACATGACATTTTGTACTTCTCATTGTTGCAACAGGTCCACCTGAATCCTTAAACGACTTGTTTGTCCCCATCTCCTCCACATGTTATACTGACATCAAATATAGTGAAAGCGGGGGTTACACTGTGGGGGAGGGACATACAAAGCAACAAAGAAATAATCTTATAAATGCTTTAGAAACACATGCATGAAAGAAACAAAAACATTAAAATACATATTTGAGGTTTTGTTTTCCTAACATCACATTATCTGACTTTTTCCGCTTGACTCATACCTACACTAGATATTGCAAATAAGGGAAACCAGCAAATCAAAACAACATTGAGATATCACCTCACTCCAGTTAGAACAGCAAAAATCAAGAACTCTAACAACAACAGATGCTGGAGGGGATGTGGACAGAAAGGAACCTTACTTCATTGTTGGTGGGAATGTAAACTTGTTCAACCACTTTGGAAAGCAGTATGGAGGTTCCTCAAAAGACTCCACATAGAGCTCCCCAACGACCCAGCAATCCCACTTTTGGGCATTTACCCAAATGATCACAAACAAGGCCACACTAAAGCTACCAGCACAACTATGTTTATTGCAGCATTATTTACCATAGCTAAGACATGGAACCAACCCAGATGCCCCTCAGTAGATGAATGGATCAAGAAGATGTGGTATATATACACAATGGAATTCTATGCCTCCATCAGAAAGAATGACATTGCCCCATTTGTTAGGAAATGGAAAGGCTTGGAAAAAATTATATTAAGTGAAGTAAGCCAGGCCCAAAGAAACATAGGTCGCATTTTTTATGGATAGAGAAGTTGAGCATTTCTTCATGTGTCTATTTGACATTCTTATTTATTCTTCAGAGAAGTCTCTCTTTAAGACTTTAGCCCTCAATGCTCCTGGATTGGGAGGATTAACATTGTGAAAATGGCAATACTGATAAAGGTTATCTACAAATTCAATGCAATATCTATCAGTATTCCAACTTCATTATTCAATGAAATAGAAGAAGCAATCCAAAAATTCATATGGAACAATAAAAGACCCCGGATAACAAAAACAATCCTTAGCATAAATAACAGCGCTGGAGGAGTATCAATTCCAAGTTGCAAAATTTACTACAAGGCCATAGTAATCAAAACAGCTTGGTACTTGCTCAAGAGCAGACCTGAGGACCAATGGAATAAGACCCAGAAATGAACCCACACACCTGTAGCCACCTAATCTTTGACAAGGGATCTAAAGAAATAGAATGGAAGAAAGACAACCTTTTCAGTAAATGGTGCTGGAAAAATTGGTTAAACACTTGTAGAAAACTAAAGCTAGATCCATATATATCACACTGCACCAGAATCAAATCCAAATGGATCAAAGATCTGGAAATAAAAACATACTCCCTGAAAACATTACAGGAAGGAATAGGCGAAACTCCAGGGCTTCTTGGCACAGGCCAACATTTTCTTAATAGAGACCCAAAAACACAACACAAATCAAAGAAAGGTTGGACAAATGGGATTGCATGAAACTGCAGAGCTTCGGCAAAGCAAAGGACATAGCTAGCAAGATCAATAAAAAGCCCCTGGACTGGGAGAAGATCTTCACTACCCATACAACGGGCAAGGATCTCATATCTAAAACATACTTAGAACTCAAAAAACTAAATCCTCCTACAACAAATCCTCAAAGAAACATGTCTGGTTTTTGAAAGGTTAATAGGAGGTAAGAGTCTCACAGGGACTTTCTGGCTGAGTTGGCTTTGAATCGTGATTCTCAGATCTCAGTCTCCTGAGTAGCTAGGATTACAAGTGTGAGCCACTAGAACATGGATAAAATCAACAATTTCAAATATAAAAAATAGAATGTCTGACAAAATTGAAACTATGTATTAAACTACAATTTAAACTTTGAAAGAAAAATAGGAATTGCTTTTCTTAGGTGGTATTTTGAGTTGAACTGTATTCTTTTTAAAGTATGTTGTTTTCTTCAGTTTGAGTATCTCAGAATAGTTTTATTTGGAAATAGTGTATGTGTTTGTTTGTGTGTGTGTGTGTGTGTGTGTGTGTGTGTGTGTGTGTGTGTGTGTGTGTGAATCCATAAGACAAAACCATAAAATCTATGCTGAGAAGAGAGTATAGTCTACACTCCGGAATTATGGCACTACTATTTAAACCCTAGTATTTGATCAGTAAGATTAAAAAAATGAGCATAAATCTAGACTGTCAGATGGTTCTCTTAGATCAATGACAAAATGTCTCTGGAAAAGACTTGCGTTCAGGCTTTGTAAGACACTTGGACTGGAAAGCACTAAGCTAGAAAGCACACATATGTAATCTGAGGTCAGAAGTCCCTCAGATCATTAAAACGAATGTTTCTAAATAGAAATCACAACACTAGCATGACCAAAATTCCACGATATAGTTGTAATTTACCAAGTTTAATCTATAGCAGTGTTCAAGCATCAACACTTTTTATATAATAGAATTATCAGTCTCCAGACTAAATTACTTTTAAAATAATGAAAACAAATTAGAATATTGAACAAGGCACAGATGTCCCAGGCCTATAATCTACCTATTTTGAATATTGAGATTAGGCTCAGCATAAACAAGATAACTTTTCTCAGCCAATATCTGGGAATGGTTGTATGTCATCCAAACAGTGTAAAAGGCTGAGAGATTGAGAATATCTGGGATCCAGTCTAGGCTAGGCAGAAATGTTTGCAAGATTCCATCTCAAGGGAAAGCTTGGTAGGTAGTATATGCTTGTTTTCCCAGATACAACTGGAAGATGAAAATAGGAAGATTGTTATCTAGGCAGAAACCCAACAGTAAGTAA